ATTTCCTGCTCCACCCTGTCAGTGCATGGCAGCATGGCTTTTCCTGTACCTTGGGGAAGATGTGTGCCTGTGTGCCAGTGTGCACTGTGCATGGCCACGTGCCTAATGGAGGATTCACCTCCTGGAGCTACCACTGGAACCATCTAGAGTCTACTATGCTCTGCTTATTAGCTTTCATCTTCAACATTTGCCAAATAATCCTCCACAATTTTATTATGTTTTTACCTCCCTAAGCTTTTCTCATCCACAATACTCACCCTATCCTGTGAGTCTCGTTTGGCATTTTTTACTGTTATTAGAGGAACATTTCAAAGCCCTTCAGATTTTAAGTAAGCTCTGAAAGTTCCAGATTTTTTCAGGAGATTTGTCTGTAAACTTGGGCAACAACTTTCTTAATAACTACTCTAATGAGGCAGCTCCCCTAGATCCTGTTATAGGTGCTCTTTGGGTGGGAAAAACATGAAGAGGTGTTCCAAGAAATCTCTAGTACCTACCCCTTTGGAGCTCCAGTGGCTAAGTGCTTAGAGCTGCTGGCTGAATGGACAGGAAATGGAGAGGAGGCTACTCCAGGAAAACACCAGGAGAGCCACCTTCCTTACCATTCCTCTCTCATCTCCCTCTCATGTACCAAGGGCAGCCTTGACAGATTTCCTAATGCTCTCCTCAGCACTATGCCCTGAGCTGCCCCACCATCTCCCTCTGCCTGACACACACACCGTGCTTACGTTCTTCCATCAGAATGACTTGTACTGGGCTGTACACCCAACACACGGGGAATGGCCTCAGTCTCCACACATAACCAGGTTGCCATAGCAACAGGCGGCAAGTAAATGCCGTCCTTCTCACAAGTGACTCATTCATTCATTCGTTGCTTCCCTGTCTGGTCTGCCAGGGATGATTTCTGTGACCTGTTTTACATCAGTCAGCTCAAGTTCTCTATACCCATCATATTCTTCCTCTCAAAGCTATTTCTGGAATGGTTTCTTTGGAAAAAAACGTGAGTTCCGTTTGTCTCTGACCAAGATTTAGAATAACATTTTGAGTGCATTTGACCTGCCAGGCCTCACACTCAACCTAATATGTGGTTTGTTTCATTTGCTATTTACAAAAACCTTGTAAGATAAGGACCATTATGATGTTAAATTTCCAAAGAAATTTTCACTTAGGGAGGTTAAGAAATTTTCACAAGATTATATTCTAAGCAGATTTTAGAGCTGGACTGGACTAGAATTTAGAGCCTGACACTGACCACAGTGAATGTACTCTAGGATGTTCCTACAATAGAATTATTGTCCTGCTTCTAGCAGAAGTATAATCTTTTGTTAGTGACATTGACTTCCAAAGGCTACTCTATAAACTCATGGGGTGTACTTCTCAGAAATTTAACCATCTTCTTTATATTGACTAGAATTCTTGCTCTTTACAAATATTAGGTATTTCTCTACTATACCTAGAATTCCTCTCTCATGGCAGATCAGTTATTTTAATTACATATTAAACTTTGAGGGGTATTTCAATTACATATTAAACTCTAAAGGATATAAAATTTTTTTTGGAGTTTTTAAAGATTTGTAATAGGAAATTAACCAAAAATTTTCTCCCAGAAGTTTCTCCATATTTAATGATATTATCCCAAAGAAAGTCTTGACTTAATTTCTCTATGTGGACTGTCTAATTGATTCTTAAAATTAATTCTTCACCATAAAAAAGATTTTTTTCCAGAAACATTTCAATAACAAAAACAATATTTAATAATTATGACTTAGATCCCAATATAAAACAGAAAGGGCTAAGCTTAGGTGTTACTGTGATTCTAGAATGGGTTGAGGAAGTCAGTCCTTCCATCTCATGCTTATACATGTGGGACAATTATAATTTCATTCATTACAGTCATAAATTTTTTTAATTGTGAAAACAATTTGACAACAAAGAGGCACTTGAAAAATACATTTCTGTTCTGAGAGTTCTTGTAGTTCATAAAGTTGATTTCCACTGAGGGAACAGTTTGAGGTATACATAGCTGATTCTAGTTTCCTTGAGACGTGAGCTTCAGTGACTCTGGAAGTATCTACAAAACCCTGACTCTTACAAAAATTGGACTATCTCTGTCAGTGATGTGTCTTCGGTTTTATATCTTTCACCTGCATGTATGGGTCCTTCATATATAGAAGGAGCCCACAGATCATTTCGCGGAACAACTGGAGTTTGAAGTCACTAATGGTCTAATAAACTATGCATGTGCCTACTTATCAAACCCATGCAAAAAGTAGATGGAAATTGGTTAAGTGTGGCTCAGGCAATAGATTTCCTTCCTCTCTGAGTGTCCTAAGGGTGGTTGAGATATTTTAAGGTGGGGTGCAAGGACCTAAACCACAAATAACCTAAATGAATAGTCTCCTTAAGAGAATAACTGAAAAGATTCTACACAGAAGCTTTTGTATAGCTGCATAGCCATGCTTGAAAATACAATTAATGACCAACTTGCAAATGTAAGCAGCATTTCAAGTATTTTTAAAAAAAACTTCTATACACATTTATACAAATTAGAACTGCATATTCAGAGTGAGAATCTCAATCTGTCTCTTCTTAATTTCGACTAATTTCCTTTATATGGACTTATTTAAACCTCAAATATTGTTCGGACTGAGTAGATCTTTAGGCTTTCTGAAAACAGGGAAATCGTACTCTTAGCAGGACAGAGACAGCATTCTTGCCAATAGTCCCAGTGAGTCACAGCTGAAATGTCCTGTAGTTAACATTCTGCTCTGGAAACAGAATCAAGAACAGCAGGCACCAACTGGTTTCCATGGTAACTGGTATTTGTGTACTTTGAAAAATGACTCTTCCTTTTTGTGTGGTAAATTTACGCGGGAATGAATTGTAGAGGTGATGTTAGCCATTTGTGTAAACATAAACAAAAAATTGATTTAATTAACTGTCAACTTCAGAAGGACACAAATTGGGGTTATGGGATTTTTTGTGTGTTAGTATTGTTCTGCACTAATTAATCCATTAATTTATTTCACATTATATTTAAGCATTTTTATCAGTGTCTTTGAAGTTTATTTCAATGCATCTTTCTCTTCCCTTCTAAGGAAGAAGAAACTAATTGTCATTCATCACTGTTTCCCCTGCAAACCCACTCCTTGGCCCCCATCCCCCATCCCCCATCCCATTCACAATGTGTTATTTAAGAAGGACTGGGATTCAGGGGCTCTCCTTTAATGAAGTAACCTCATCTGGAAGGAAGAAAAAAAATCCCTTCTAAGTCATGTGAAAATGTCAGGTTTCTTAACCTTGCTGAGCTGGGAGGCAAAAATACTACTGTGACCTGATATTGAATCGACATACAGAATCAATATTATGGTTCATCAGAATGTTGCTACCTAGTAGTTTAGAAGACTCATCAAGCTTAGAACAATTATGATTATTGAGAAACTGTACCTTATGTTTTGGTGGATAAAGGTGAAGTAATTAAAGTTTTGGTCACTGAACTATAATCCAATATTAAGAATAAATCTTCTGGGGTGGAAATAGTGTTTTCTTGCTTATTATGCTTCTGCTTGGGAATGGCATGTTTATTTTTGTATTGATTACTTTTGAAATGAAATTCATATACTAGATTTAATAAAAACTCTGAGTTTGGAATAAATGCTCCACAGTGCAGCAGTAATTTAGGAGTAAACAGATTGCAATGAGGATCTCCTGGGCCTCCACCTCCTGCCTTAGATGGTGGGACCTGAGGTCTGGGGGGAAGGTTTCTGTCCTTGATCTCCTCTTTGTGTTGCTTTATTCTTTCACTCAGTTTTGCTCCCTCACTATGGTTTTTGTCAACTATCTAGAACATTAGAAACTTGGTAACAAATATACATATTCAAAGCAGCAGTATTGGAAAAAAATAAAAAGGAAGCTGAAGAGATAAGACTGAAAAATAAACCTTTATTCATTTATTTAAAATTCTCAGGTTTAGTACTTAAGGGTCAGTGATATAATGGACTTCTGAGTTTCTCTTTTTAAACCTTCAAATGTCACAAGCGTATATGTCTGATGAGCAGCCAGTTTTGAAAACTCCAAGAGAGAGGCAAAGATTTAGAAATCTAGGATTTCTTGTGTCCTTGAACAAAGCCCTTCCAGGCCCTCCCTTCCACAGGGTAGCCACAAAGGCTCCAGACCCTTTGTTACCCAAGAGCACATTGAAATTTAGGACTGTAACACCCTAATATGTATCTAATATGCAAAATTAAATTAATAGTGAATATTAAGTCCCATTAAAATAATATAGTTGTAGGGGAAACCATTGTGTTCATTCATTGAAGATGTATTGAGAGTCTGCTCTCAACAAAGCCCTGCGTTAGGTAGTGAGTCTACCTACATATACTGTCTAGTGACAAGAAAACAGGGGACCACAATTAAATGTGTACTCCAAATTTATACACACACATATATACCTGGACACATACGTATATGGACATATACAAGCAAATGAAAAAATGTTGGCAGGAGGAACTTCCATTATAAATAAAGTATTAATAGTGGTTATACTTAGTAAGATTAATCTTTACATTTTCCTTTCTTATGGCTTTCTAAAATGTCTATTTTTTATAGTTAGTATTTATTTTAAAAATGCATGTCTATTATGTTCCTACTCATTGAGATCTCATATTTACATATCATTAATATGTGAACACATCTCATTTGGCCCACCAGTCCCTTATTCTGTGCCTGGATTATATTTTGGAGGGGTCTTGCTAGGCTGACATAAAACTAAATTATATTTAGATTTCCAAATTTATTGGGCATAGGAATCATCCCTGAAATTCTTTCTATATAATTATTTTTGGTTCTTGTGTTAAGCCTCCTGAACTCTATCCACCTTAGCAGATTTACCCTTAACTTTTGAACCAAGGAACAGCTTTTGCTACATGAGTAGGCTTTAATTTTTTCCTCTGACAAACCTTGTGAAGTTTTTTTAACATTGGGCAGTTTCTCTTTGATTTCAGCTCTATGATGGCCCACAGCGAATGGGGCGCTTCTGTGGAGTAGAAATGCCATCCCCAGGGAGCACCGCAGGCTCCAAGCTTCATGTGCTGTTCCACACCGATGGGGTCGGTCACCACGAGAGAGGATTCCATATGCAGTGGTTCACTCATGGTAAGCCCTGAGCCAATCTCAGTTGTATTTAGTAGCTGACATTGAAAGCCAACAATTGTTTCCTTTCCAATTCTATTGGAAGCATTACCATCAACAAAAAATGTAAACTAGCTTTAATCTGGTGCTAGGTCTTAGAAAGTTTACTCTGACATTAGTGGCTCTCAGAGAGTTAAATCCTGGTGGGGTTAAGAGAGGACAGGATTTGATAACTGCTTACACAGGTGAGAGACAAATTGCCAGAGAGAAAGGAGGGAGCAGAATACAGCTGTGGAGAAGAGATGTGGCAGCACCCAGCTACGAATCAGTGGTTCAGAGAGCAGGCAGGGCTAGTCATTCCTCTGAAGATCACAATTCATTTTTAATAAGAGTTCTGAAACCTCTAGAATGACCTCACCTGGTCCAGTCTAAAGAGAGAGGGCCCCAGAGCAGTGGTTCTCAAAATGTGGGCCCCCAAAAGCAGCATCAGCATCAGTGGGACTTGTTAAAAACACAAACTCTTGGGAGAATATATTGATAAATGACAGATCCAATAAAGGGTTGACATCCAAAATATATAAAGAGCTCATGCACCTCAACAAACAAAAACCAAATAAGCCAATTAAAAATTGGGCAGAAGAGCTGAACAGACAATTCTCCAAAGAAGAAATTCAGATGGCCAAAGACACATGAAAAGATGCTCCACATTGCTAGTCATCAGAGAAATCCAAATTAAAACCACAATGAGATATCACCTCACACCAGTAAGGATCACCAACATCCAAAAGACAAACAACAACAAGTGTTGGTGAGGATGTGGAGAAAGGGGAACCCTCCTACACTGCTGGGGCGAATGTAAATTAGTTCAAAAATTGTGGAAAGCAGTATGGAGGTTCCTCATAAATCTCAAAATAGAAATACCGTTTGACCCAGGAATTTCACTCCTAGGAATTTACCCTAAGAATGCAGCAGCCCAGTTTGAAAAGACATATGCACCTTTATGTTTATCGCAGCACTATTTACAATAGCCAAGAAATGGAAGCAACCTAAGTGTCCATCAGTAGATGAATGGATAAAGAAGATGTGGTACATATACACAATGGAATATTATTCAGCCATAAGAAGAAAACAAATCCTACCATTTGCAACAACATGGATGGAGCTAGAGGGTATTATGCTCAGTGAAATAAGCCAGGCCGAGAAAGACAAGTAGCAAATGATTTCACTTGTATGTGGAGTATAAGAACAAAGAAAAACTGAAGGAACAAAACAGCATCAGACTCCCAGAACCCAAAAATGGACTAACAGTTACCAAAGGGAAAGGGACTGGGGAGGATGGGTGGGAAGGGAGGGATGGTGGGGGGAAGAAAGGGGGCATTACAATTAGCATGTATAATGTTGGGGGGGATATGGGGAGGGCTGTGCAACACAGAGCAGATAAGTAGTGATTCTATAGCATCTTACTACACTGATGAGCAGTGACTATAATGGGGTTTGTGGGGGGGACTTGGTGATGGGGGGAGTCTAGTAAACATAATATTCCTCATGTAATTGTAGATTAATGATACCAAAAAAAAAAATACAAACCCTTGGGCCCTATACCAGATTCACAGAATCATATACCCTTAAGGGAGGCCCAATAATCTGTATCTTAACTAGTCTCCCTGGTGATTGAATTTGGAGAACCCTCCCAGAGTGATCCAGACCTGGAAACGATAGTCCTTGTGAGTATTAAGATAGCAGTTCTCAGCCAAGGTTTTTAGGGCTCACAGGTATGTTTCCATCATTTTGAAAGAGAAGTGGAGTTGCAGTACTATACCAGGAATCACATACAGACATCTAAGCTGTGGTCCTACTCTCAAAAGCAGGGTGAGCTCCTGTGAGCACACATGACTGCGTGCTGGGATTGACCCTCAAGAGTTGCTATCCCCAGAGAGCCTTTACTGTATGAATCTCAGTGCGTACATAACCCAGTAGCCCTGCTATATATTTAAGAGTATTGGATGTTCTGTTATGATAAACTGGGGACTGAGTGTATTTCTGTTAAAATACAGGTTTGGGGTTTTCAGTATTTAAAATTGTTCAGTGTTAACCCACAGAGCTCCTTGCAGCTTGGAATACAGATTATGAAATCTCAAAGTAAATGAGCTGTGTTAATTAGGCTTGTGGAAGTTCTGGACTGTCCTCTTCATCAATTAGGTGGATTTGACCTTTGAATGACAATTTATTGTTTTACTGAATGAAAGGACTGGATTGATTCATCTCTGCAACACAGTCAATCTATAGTCTTCTGTAATTCAGAAATAGTGTGATTCGAAGGAAACTGGAGACTATGCGAAAATACCCAGAAGAAAGAGGAAAATCTTGGGAAATGACCCAGATTTTCAAGGGCCAGGGGTATTTTCCAGAGCAGTTGTTTCTCAGACTCTCATGTGCGTATGAGTCACTGGAGATCTTCTTAAAATGCAGATCTGGTAGAGGTGGGCTGAGGTAAGGCCCATGAACCTGCATTTGGAAAAACTACCAGGTAATGCTGATGGTATTACTCTGTAGACTGAACTTTGAGGAGCAGGTGAGAGCAGATGTTAAGGCTGGAGAAATAAAGTGGTGGAAGACAGCATCCCTAGAGATTGGACAAAACTGCTAGGGTGCTCCAAGGGCTCAGTGTACCAACAGCAGAATAGTATCTTCAATCTTGCAGTGTCTGTAGGATGAGAGCTGGGGCCCTGTAAGGAGAACCATACTGCTTCAGAGACCCCAGGGGAGAAATCCTGTACATGAGACAGAGGGTGGAAGGTAAGAAATACCAACCAGGAGACAGAGGCTCAGGCCAAGGGGAGCAGTCCTCAGCCCTAGATACACATTGGGAGTGCCTGGGAGTATGGAAGAGTACCCACACGGGGTTCCATCCTCCAGAGTTAGGATTCAGTTGGTCCACAGTGGGACCTTGACTATTGCTGATTTTAAAAAGCTCTCTAAGTAATTCTGCATGTGGCTAGATTGGAGGGTTTTAGAAGGAGTGATTTTGCTGGTTACATATTTCTATTTAGTGGACTGGCTTACTCTCTGCTGCAGACAGTTCTGGCCATACTAGTCCAAGGTCGTGCTAAGGAGTGTGATTGAATGGTTGTTATTGGCTCCACTGGATTACTGTAGCACTGGGTTCTTCCAGCCCTGCATGCTAGACATGGCCGAATCCTCTGCTGAAAGTTCTGAGTTTTTGTTGGGATTTTTTTTTCTTACCAGCTGTGCTTGGAATCTGTCTTCATTTAGGAAAGTCAAAGACACCCTCTGTCTATTCTCCTTTCCTGCTTACTATTTCAGAAGTTTCTCCCAATTGCTGAAAACTTCCTAAGGTGGAAATGCAGAATTGTGCAACAAAATTTTGCTAGCTAGGATAACAACTGAACATTTTTATTTTGGAACTCTTTGCTTGCCATTATATATAAATTAGGAAACAGCTCTGGAAAAAAGTTCTGGAACAGGATTGTTAGTGGTCTAGATCTGTGCACAATTAACTGATTTTCATATACTGTAGTTCTGTAGTGCCTCAAGTATGAAGAGTTTATACTCTGCATCTGAACTAGGTCTTTGATTTGAGATAGCCTTATAAGAGGGGCCAACAGAAAAGGTGAGGTTCAGGGAAGAGGTCTTTAATGGGAGAGGTTTCCCCACTTCTTACTCATTGAAGGTGAACTGAAGATGTAAGTCTGATTTCTGTCATCCATGTGTTCATTCCATAGATATTAAGGAACTGTTTGGGACCATTTACGGTGCTCGGGTTGGGGACAGTGTGTGACTCCTGCCACAGGCCTGATTCCTGGTCTCATAGAGCTTACAGGTGATTGGGAGAAGTAGCTACCAAGCAGATAAGCACACAAATAAATATAAACTCAAAACTATGGTGAGTGCCACAGGAGAACACAAAAGGGGGATTTGACCTAGACAGGAGGTCAAAGAAATCCTGCACAAGAATAGGACCTTTGAACTAAAATCTAAGAATAAGCAAACAGAAAAGAAAAAGATTTCCCAGCAGAAGAAAGACCTCACGGTAAAAGGACAGGGGGGGGAATGTGGCACCCAAATGTCCAGGGTGGCTGAGGTCCACGTCAGATAGAGCACGGAAGCAACATGGTGTGTTGTGGGGTTCAAAATCCAAAATCCAATACAAATAAATGAATACAAAAGAAACAAATAAAATCCAAAATACATTTAAAAATTAGTCTCATTTTTAAGCATAGTAGAAATATTCTTGAATGTGTTTGCTGTGTACACATATGTTTTTATATGTATGTACTTCACACAGATTATCTCTGCACAGCTTCCCTGGCTCTTGATCTCAGACTTAAGATCAAGTGTGGGTCTGGGCCTGGCCCCGGCCCTGAGGTTGCTCTTCCTTACCTGATCAGAGAAGTCCCTGTAGTGTCCTCACCTCTTTTCATTTGAGTCAGATCTCATCTCAGGCCCTTTCTCCTCCTACTCTTTTCCAAACTATGCAATAAGAACTCCACAAAACTCTTTTCTGAGATTTCCGAATCTACAGTGGCATGATTTCCTGAGCATTGCTGCTGAGGAGGACTCCCCACACACTTGATTCATTTTGCTAATTAATAAATAAACCCATTTACAAAATGTGCTTCTTTGTCCACCACACAAATCTTCTATTTGCTTTGAGAAAATGGATCTACAATCAGGCTTTATTTGTGGGCCCATTTTTAAAGAGATGAGAGATGTGAGATTAAACCACACTGCCTTGTCTTTATGCAAACCATCTAAGAGAATCCCACTCTAGAAAGAAAAAAATAGCCACAGTTGCCCTGTCTGGCTAAACGGTTCACAGCGTTCAGCATTGACAGCATTGTCCAGGGGCTGAATTCGGCCTCGGCAGCCTCCGTCTCCGTTGCCCAAGGGAATACAGAACTTTCTGCAGGCTGTGTGAATGGGGCCTCCCAGCCAGCTGCACACACCCCTCACCTCCTGGTCTCCCTCTCAGAGGCCCTGTTTCACTGGCAGTGGAATCCAGC